TGGATGGATGGATGGATGGATGGATGGATGGATGGATGGATGGATGGGTGGGTGGGTGGATGAATGGGCAGGTGGGCAGGCAGGTGGATGTATGTATGTATGTATGTATGTATGGATGGATAGATGGATGGATGGACAGACAGACAGATAAATCCTGGAGCAGAGATACCTGCACTCACACATACAAAACAAATAATAATCAAATAGAAATGTCTTCAAAAAGTATTGATGTTGGGCCAAGCCTAATGCCAATACACCTTATGAGATAAAGAAAATTCAAGCGAGTTTAGCCTAGATTTAACATTCAGCGGATATTGTTGTCCCTAACGCATGACCGGTAAGAGAGGCAAAAGTCTGGAGGGCAGGATGAAGTCAACTGGTGTGGATGGAGGCAGGAGAGTTTTCTGGAGCATCACAAAGCCTTTACTTATCCAACACACACACGTGTACCTCAATCTGAACATGGATCATGTTCAGCCTGGATCATCATACTTAAAACTCAGTCTGCCTGCTCAGCCAGGTCTACAGGGTTCAGTAGACATGACTACCACATACTGACCCAGGAGGTCACAAGGCTGACCCCTCCTTCTCCACACTTCAGTCCGCAAACTAATTGCTGACCCTACTACCACAGTACGGTTTGTGACACCCATGCCCTCATCCTTGCTGACTCAACCACGGATTGTTCTTGCTCCAGATTCTCTCGGGCTGATTTCCTCTCGTTATTTAGCTCTTGGGCTTTCCTGCTCTTGAAGGTCCTCCTCATATACGTTTCCTAAAACAGTTCCCTTCCAGGCCACTGCCACACCGCTCGCTGCTGTTTCAGGATCTTGAACATCTCCCAAAGACTCATGGCTATTAAAGGCTTGGTTCTGGAAGCCGAGGAGATGGTTCTGTGATTAAGAGCATTTTGCTGCTCTTCTAGAGGGCCAGAGTTCAATTCGAACACCCATGTTGGGCAGCTGACAATCACCCCTAACTCCAACTCCAGGGCATCTGATGACCTCTTCTGGCAGCTGCAGGCACCTGTATGTACATGATCATATTCACATGGACACACGGGGACACACATACATACATAAAAAAAAATAAAATAAAATTGAAACTTAACTTTTAAGAAAGAGTGTGCTTCTGGGGTGATGGTATTAGAGGTGAAGGCAGGAGGAGATGGGTCCTTGTAAGAAATCTTTAGATCACTGAGGCCTGTCTTTGAAAGGGACGGTTGGACCCCAGAGGCATTGGTTCTACTAGAACATGGACTAGAACCTCTAAGACCATGAGCCAAAATGAACCTTTTCTCCTAACAAGCTGATTGTCTTAGGTGTTTTGTTACGAGGATCGAAAGCTCTGTAACACATGGCTCCCCTTGATTCCTCTACAGCATATACAGGTGAGAAGAACTTGCTCAGCTGTGTGATTACTGTCCTCTCCTCCACTGGGCCTGGGGGTGGACAGGACGGTGTGCGCTGTTGCTGGCTGTAACGCCTCCCTGCAGAGCGGCACCTGGCACCCAGTGCTCTCCTTTTGCTTGCATGGGTGGAGGAGCCTAGACAGATCCACTGTAAAAGATACCCTCGAGCTGAGTGTAGGAAGCAGGTGTCTGGGTCTCTCCCGTGATTGACAGCTGAACTCCAACAGGGCCCACGCCTTACCTACAGTCACCTGTTGGGGGTCCCTGAACTGCCCTCAGGCAGCAGGGCCAGGGGACCACTCTCTAGAGAACATGACTGAGTATCAGCCTGGAGAGCCAGTGGGATCTCAGTAATTCTGTTCTCCAGTTCCAGCTCCTTTCTAAAGCAACACCCAGATGCTGGAATGATGAAAGGATGGGGAGATGAAGGGGTCAACGGGGTGAGGCCAAGAGAAAGAAAGGCACAGACGCCAACCTGAGAGCTCCGCTGGAGCCGTGATATCCCTCATGGCTGTTGGCGGCGCACATGTGGGCTGGGCTGTTACCACCGGCACACAGAGCACAGAGCTGGGAGTCAGGATTAGAGCCCGGGGCACAGCTGCGACTGAAGAAGGCGTCTGCAAGGAAGGGACAGCCAGGGTCAGCTCCTCCTGTGGTGGCAGGAAAGCCCCAGGGTTTGTTCCTAAGGCTGCCTGTGACACAAGCAACCGCTGGTTATTTGGCAACATTACTAAGGGGCTGGGGAGATGGCCCGGTCAGCAAAAGCATCTGCCCTTCAAGTAAGAGGACCTGAGTTCAGATCCCCAGCGCCTACGTAAAAGCTGGATGTAAGTGGCATAAGTCTCCAGCTCTGGTACTGAGGAAGGTGGAGACAGGTGGATCCCTACGGCTCACTGGGCTGCCAGCCTGGTCAAACTGGTGAGAGAGAACCTGTCTGCCAGCTGTGGTGGCACATGCCTGGAATCCCAGCACTCAGGGAGACAGAGATAGGTGGATCTCTGTGAGTTCGAGGCCAGCCTCGTTTGAGGCCAGCCTGGTCTACAAAGTGAGTCCAGGATAGCCAAGGCTATATAGAGAAACTCTGTCTCAAAAAACAAGTGAGGGAGAGAGAAAGAGAGAGCCTGTCTCAAAAAAATAAGATGGGGTTCTTTAATCCCACACTTGGGAGGCAGAGGCAGTTGGATCTCTGTAAATTCGTAGTGTGGTGTAGACAGTGAGTTCCAGGACTTCCAGGGCTACGTAGAGGGACCTTTACTCAAACAGTAATGGTAATGTGGAGATCAGCTGTGAACATACTACTACCTCTAGACTCCTCACATAGGCACACACATGCACATACACATACACATATCCACACCCAATGGACACATACATGTACTGCGCATACAATACTATATTTTGTTTGTTTGAGACAGGATTTCTTTGTGTAATAGCCCTGGCTGTTCTGGACTCTCTTTCTAGACCAGGCTGGCCTCAAACTCACGGAGATCCTCCTGCCTCTGCCTTCCGAGTGCTGGGATTAATGGCGTGCGCCACCACACCTGGCGAAACTAATTTTTAAAAAAGGAACAAGAACCTTATGGAATAAAAGAAAAGATTCCAGAGAGACAACGTAAAGGGACTAGCTGGAGATGGACCAGCCTGAGAGTTCACACAAGTCCATCCCTCTCCCCGTACAGGACAGGGGTATTGAGGGACAGATAAGAGAATTTCGCCACAATGATAGCACTAGCAGCCAGCATTTACCCAATGCATACCAAGAACCCAATTTTGTATCCCAGCCATGATGACTGAGCCACACTTGGATGCGAGTGTTTAGGGATTGGCCTTAGATTGGAGAAAGAACTGCTTTATCCAACCCTTATTTCTTAGCCAGTTTGGAAAAGGATGGGCTCTTGGAGAGGCAGGAGAAAAACCAAACTGGGGCATGGTGCAAAAGCCAGGGAACAGTGTTTCAAGGTGAATTGACAGGACGGTGCAGGGAGACTAGGAACTGAGCAACTGGGGACACTGGGGGGAGGGGTTCTCCGTCAGAATCATTTCCATGGCATGATACCTAAGACAGACAGCAGCAAGTCTAGGAGTGAGTGAAAAGTGTGTGGCTCCCACGGTGCTTTTAAGATCTGGTAGGAAAGCCAAGAAGAAAATGGGCGTGGGAGCTGCAGGAAAAATCTTCTTAAAGATGGAAGACATTGAGCATATTAACAAGTCGAAAAAAAAACCCTGTTGGAAAGGCCAAATAGCTGAGAGTCTGAGGCTCTGAAGAAGTAGGTGGTACCCAGGGGCATGCAGGAGGCTGAGGAGAGGCAGGTCAGGAGGCCCACAGATTCAGCAGTGGGATGCTGATGGTTTCAATTGTCTTCTGGTGGTGCCTACTGCCTGGGGCATCTGCTGAGGAAGGAGGCAGGTGGGTGTGTTTTGAGGTGTGTAGATGCTGAGCCAGTTATTGAAGTGTGAGGCACGGCTGTATGCGTGGGGGATGGGGCCCACTGAGGCCAGTGGCAGGGGTGGGGGTGGGGGTGGGCTTTTCCAGAGCAATGACTGCACCTTTGTCCTTTGATCTTCTCCAGCCAGGTTTTGCTGTTCAAGGGCAGATGAGAGCAGGCCATAGGCTTCAGGCAGGCTAGGATTTGTCGAGTGGGAAGGGAAAGGAATCTTATGTACCACTGAGAGCGCCGAGGAAGCGGGATGAACGTGAAAGGGCTTCAAGTGTGAAAGCTGTCAACTCAGCTTATATGTGAAAATGACAGGTGTGAGCACACTTACACACTACTAAGGCCCTGCTTATTCCCTGGACTGTTCATAAAACATAACAGATAGGGCCATTTCCCTGAGGTCTGCCTTCAAGGCTATACATGCCCATCAAGGGCAAGTGGGCGTGGAGAAGGGGGAGGAGCTACCTGGAGAAGGGTGGGGCTCACCTTCTGTCTGGCAAGCCCTTGAACCAAATACCCACTTAGGACAGTCCTTTCCATCCACCGAACTGAATTCCCCCTACCCCAACTCCGGAACAAGCATAAGGAAGGCACCCTCTCACCTCCAGAACACACTTACCAAAGTTGCAAGACCCAGTTTGGTTGTATATTAAACCCATGGGGACATTCCAGCCTGCCGAAGTGCCGACTGCTGTGTGGCAGGACTTCTTGCCTCGAAGAGAGTTCCAGGTGATGCCAACATCTGATTTCTTAACCACAGCCACAACATAATAACCTTGCAAGTGGAGACACCAAGACACATGCTCCTTACTATTTGGAGAAGCAGAGCAGACAAAAGCGGGATCTGATGTGCCCCCTCCCATGGGACATTTAATGGCATTTTTGTGTGGAGGAGAATGTAAGCTTTGTTTCTCCATGGTCTGTACTGTTCCATCCCTTGTGTAGAAACTGCATAGCCAATTGTACTGGCTGGTTCTGTGACAATTTGACACAAGCTAGAGTCATCAGAGAGGAAGGAGCCTCAGCTGAGGAAATGCCTCCATGAGATCCAGCTGTCAGGCATTTTCTCCATTAGTGATCAATAGGGAGGGTCCAGCCCATGGTGGGTGGTGCCCTCCTGGATTGGTGGTTCTATAAGAAAGCGGGCTGAGCAATCCATGATGAGCAAGGCAGTAAGTTGCACCCTCCATGGCCTCTGCATCAACTCCTGCCTCCAGGTTCCAGCCCTGTTTGAGTTTCTGCCCTGACTTCCTTTAGCAATGAATTGCATTGTGGAAGTGTAAGTTGAATCAACCCTTTCCTCCCTGTCTTAGTTAGGGCTGTACTGCTGTGACAAAAGACCATGACTAAAAAGGTTGGGGAGGAAAGACAAGAGAGATAGTAGAGACAGACAGGAAGAGATGACACACAGAGAGACTTGGTGCAATGGTTTATGTTGACAGTTGACTTGATATGACCTAGAGCAACCTTGGAGATGAAGCTCTGGGAGTGTCAGTGAGGGATGATCATGACTGGGTTAACTGAGGTGGGAAAGCAGGTACCATTCCCTGGGCTTCAAGGAGAAAGCTGGCTGAACCCTGACATTCATTTCTCCCTGCTCTCTGACTGCTGATGCCACAAGACCAGCCAGCCTGCTGCTCCTGTCATTGTGCTTTCACCACAATGATGGACTGTGTCCCCTAAAACTGTAAGCTAAGATAAATCCTTCCTCCCTTAGGACGCTTTTACCACAACAAGGAAAATAACGGGCACACTTGGTTAAATACAGAGAACCCTCTGTCCATGCTCAGGCTGAACCGTCTCTACCACGGCCGGCAGTTGTTGAACTGCAGGGTTGACCTGCGTTTGCATGTGACTGCAGCCTGTGGGAATTTGAACTCCTCTTGAAACAGGCAGATTGTTTCTGACCGTAAACGATCCGACTGGAATACATGGCTGATGAAAAGTTAGCCCTCCATGAAGACCGAAAGTGGAGAGCTTCAGGGTCCTGTCTCACAGGGAGATTAGGCTCAGCTGCTGCATGGCCTGTGGGCCTCTCTGACCTGGTGCTGAACAGGGACAAAGACCACCTGAGGCTGCTTGTGCAACACTGAGCCAAACCCTCAGCTCCCCAGATCTCTGCTGTGCCTAAGTAAGCCCTCAAGTTCACCTTGAGGCTCCATGTCACAGTGGATTTATTCATTTTATTTTTTCAAGACAAGGTTTCCCTGTGTAGCCCTGGCTATCCTGGAATTCCCTCTGTAGACCAGGCCGGCCTCGAACTCCACCTGCCTGGGGCTCCTGGGTGCTGGGATTAAAGGCATGCACAACACACCCTGCTGTCAAGGTGGATTTCTAAACCTTAGTTTTCATTAAATCCAACAGAACAGACTTCCTGCCTCAGCCAGTGAGTGACTTGGTAGGACTAGGAAGAGATCAAGGAACTATTTCCAACAGATTCCCAGATGATGGTGGTGGTGCTGGTCCCGAGGCCACACCCAAGGACCATGGTCTATGTGCTTTCAAGACTGATCCTTCAAGGGAGACATAAACTCTTTCATCCATGGAGAGATGCCAGGCAAGAGAACTTATCTCCTGGCAGAGGTTTGCTCTAAAGACCAGGCTGATTTCTCTGTCGGTAAGTTCCAGCTAACCACAGGGTGGTTCTTATTTTCTTCCTCTTCCTCAGCAGCCCCTGGGGATGTTTTTCTTTCATAAGGCCTCACCTTGTCCTAGAAGTGCTCACATGGCTCCTGCCCCAGGAGCAAGGATGGGCAATTGACAGAAACATGGTGCTGTGTCAGAAGGAGTTGGGGATGGAGGGGACCCACTAATTTCAACTCTTCTCAAGCTCATTGACTGCCACCTCTAGCTGTGTGCCTCTGGGAAACCACCCAGTCCCTGGGCCTCAGTGTCCCCATCTACATACCATGAAGTAATAATGTCCTTTCTACAAGGTTGCTGAGAAGAATAAACAGGTGCCATGCTAACAGAAATCCTTCCGACTGTCATGTATCCTGAGGACATCAATTATTATGGCTGCTTTGGGATAGTTTTGTTTTTCAACAATGAACCCAGGCTTCTATTTTCAACTCTAACAAATTTGACTTTTATTATTTTTTAAATTTATGTGTCTGTGCGTGTGTGCCTGCATGAATCTGTGTGAAAGTATCTCATGAAGGTACTCACAGAGGCTGGAAGAGGGCACCAAAGAGGGGACTGGAATTAACAGGTGTGAGCCCCTTGATGTCAGTACTAGGCATCAAACCTGGGTCCTCTTCAAGACCAATAAGCATATGTCACTGCTTAAGACCTACCTTCCCCTCTTCCCAAGGGTAAGGTGACTCACTCACCTTCCAAAGGTGCATTCACACACTTGGACCGCAGCCTCTCGCTCCCATGTGTAGACACTGAAAAGAAACACTGATGGTTTGCGTTAAACTCTCACATTACTCTAGCCAAGCTGTGAGCGTCTCGGTCTCAACTGAGATTGAATAGATGAGAAACGTTGGCTGCTTATCAACTGGCAAAAGTTCTGCAGCCCATTTCTCCTCCTCCTCCTGAGGGTTGCTCCTAGAACATTAGGTTCCATCCCAGAATCTCAACACTCAAACAGATACAAAATAAAATCAGATGCCCATTAAAGAGGAGGAGAAAGAGAGACAGCTCGTCCCAGATATAGACAGAGATCCTTTTGAAATAGCTATCTGGGTATGACTTCTCCCTGTGCTAGCCGCAAGTCTAACCAAGGGTTATTTGACAAGCACTGTGATGGCTCTTCCCCACCGCATGCCCTCCAGTATCCTTCTAGCCATAACAAGAGCTATGATTTTGTACTCTTTCTGCTTATAACCATCCTAAAGTGGCAAAGATACTGGAAGACATGTGTTCCCCTCACTTTAGCTGTCAGACTCTAGAAACAGTAGTTCCCCAAGGAATTGGAATTCCTCCAGGAGTCTCATTCTGGGGAAGGGAAAGACTTCAAGTTACTACTCCCAGGCCAAGGAAGACTTTGTCTCTCAGGGAGAGGTTTCATACGGTTCTGACACTTGTCGAACCACATTGCCGGGGAGACTAAAGCCAAACAATATGATAAAGCAATGATGGGTAAGACCACACCGTGACTAGGATTGTTCATCCATGCATGTCTCGTCTTCTGTTTAAACCTGAGCCTTCACATTAGAATCCTGAAGATGGAGTTGGGAGTCATGATGCCTCTAATTTCTTCCTCTTCCTCATGTGGCTATGCTGAATAAAATAAGTCTTTCTCTGTCTGTGTCCCTCTCCCTCTCTCTTTGCTCTTTGATTTTTCACTTTAATTGGTGTATTTGAGGTCTAAGCTTAGCTTGTCATGGCTGCTGGGGTCCCCAGTCCTTGATCCTAAAACCTTTGGAAACATGCCTAACGCCCACATCTGTAACTTAGCTGGTTCTGACTGTGGAGTAGAAGATTCTACTTCAAAAGGCCCTAAGCTGCAAAAAAATAGTTATCATCCTATCAGAAAATGACATTACTTCTTCACTTTTCTGTGCCCATGGCCCAGGGAGAAACACAGAGGAGCCCCATCCTTCACTCACGGTAGTTCTCGCCCAGGACGGGCACCAGACCACAGTGACCCGCAATGTAGGCAAATCCTCCATCCAGGCTCACAGCATCTGCTTCTCCTTTCTAAAGTTAAGAAAGAAATCAACTGTGAACTGTGCACCTGCCTTCCATCCACGGGCCCTCAGCCATCATCTGGTGAGCTTCCTCTCATGCATCCTTATTTAACCAGACTGTGACACTCCCAAATCTGCCTTGGAAATATGAAATTTAGAAAACCAGACCTGTCTCTGGACATGGCCCAACTCAGGCCATATTCTCTGGACATCCCTGTGTCCTCCTGGGAGAGGCCCCAGGACATGCCCAGAGCACACTTTCTTTGTGACCATTGTCACTTAATTCAGAAACCCTCATGGCCAGACTCAGGTACTATATTTAATCTGCTTCATGGAAAATATTTTCTTTTAACCAATGAAGTCCAAATCTGTCCCCCACCCCCCCAATCCCATCAGCACCACACTCATAACAACAGTGCAAAAATAGTTCCTATAAATAATTAACAAAATAATTAATCGCCATTAAGTTATTCATTCATAATTGGCATTTTAATCAATATTCCAAATAGAGTAACTGAAGTATCCTGATAGTTATGTGAGCTGATAAATAAGATCACTGAGATAAAAGTTTATGAAATGTAGCTCCATTTGTAATTCCAGCACTGGTGAGGCTGAGGCAGGAGAATTGCCACAAGTTTAAGGCTAGCTTGGGCAACCTAATGAGTGCCAGGCCAGCTAGGGATATAGAGTGAGACTTGGTGACAAATAGCAAGAACAACAATTCTCATTCATATATATGTTTCTCTTTTGACTCCTTAACTGCTGTAGAAATCGGAGAGCTAACCACGGCAGGAAAAAGGTATTCTGAGCCAGGCTCTTTCCCCAGCATTGCGAGGTGCCTGGGGAAGCAGCTCAGTGAGAAGTAAGGCCTCAACTTAATTAATGCCCAGTACCAGACAACAACAAAGACTCTCAAAAATAAAGTAAAATAATTAAGTGAATGACACACTGTCAACAAACATATTTAAGCACTGGGCAGTGAATCACTCACAAATGCCTCACAAAGTCAGATAATGCAGAAAATGTCATTTGATAAATTAGCAAACCAAAGCAAAGAGACATTAAATAATTTGTCTGATAGATGGTATAATTCCTACAATAGCCACTGTACCATACAGCCTCCTGGCTATTCCAAAGCACACATCCCTAAATGCTGGGACATGTGCATTCTTATATTTGTAAAACAAGGACTGAGAAGTACCCAGTGGGCTTTTGATGAGGTTCAAGAGAGCTAATGAGAGTTTTACATGACATGTAGAAAGTAGCTACAGAAACATTAGCTAATTAATACTAACAATGAACTCTGAAACACTGACAGTTACAGGCATAAAAAGGTTCAATCCCACATGTGTGATAGCAAAGGAATTATTAAATAACTCAAATATAAAAATTATAAATTAGCTAGGTAAATTGAGGCAGAAATATTTAGTGGGATATCATGCAGGATTTGTTTGAGACAAGGTATCGTGTAACCCAGGCTGGCCTCACTCTTACTCTGCAACCAAGGATAGCCTTAAACTGATCCTTTCTTCCACCTCCCAAGTGCTGGGATTACATGCCTGGATCAGCAGCTATTAAAAACACATTTTAACTGAACTTTTCGTCATCGAAGAAAGTGTACCTGCTGTGCCCAAGACTCTCAATAATAAATATTAACATAACACTATACCAGAGAATATCCAGAGTGCTCAACTGACAGACTGAGGAAACTACAAATCAAAAAAAAAAAAAAAAAAAAAAAAAATCTGTATCTATGGGTTAGTGCCAAAGAGTTTACCCCAAACCGGGAGCCCAGAAGAGGAAGCCGGACTTCCTACCGTGACGGCAGCCATGCAATCCTCTGGGGTTTCCTCTGTAACACATGCCAAGGCGCCACCACTGACAGCACTCCACTGGTCACATTTGGCCCTCTCCTGTTGACCCACGGCACACCACTTCACCCTCTGAGAGTCTGCCAAACCTAGGATGTGTAGAGTTGATCCAAGGACCCAAAGAAAGCACCAGATCGCTGCAGACAGGATGCCTAACGGCATCAGCGATGGCAAAGAATGGGTGTGAGCCATTCCTTGCCACAACTCCTGGCTGCCTGTCGTTCTCTAGAAGTGAAGACCCAGGTATCCATGAAAAGCAGCGAGGGCAGAACTTTTCCCTCTGTCCCGATGTCACTTCCCCCAGGGAAGCTTCTCAGCTCTCCATCCCGAAGCTGGGCCTTCTGGAACTTTCCTTTGCAGAACTTCCATCCAGCGTGCAGCCCGTGGCAGTCCCGTGCCCTGCTCTGACGGTCTCTTCGCTGCTGCTCGCCCAGTGTGCTAGCTCACATCTGACACTGCAGTTGCTCTTTCATCGATGCTCAGTTACTGTTTGCTTAAATGGAGGGTGGAAACAGAGAAGCAGCAAAGAAGGGGGCCATCGAGGCCGGTGGAATGGGGAGCGGGGCGCTGCACTCCAGGCCTCTGAGTTGCCTTTCTAGCTCTGCTCCTGAGAGTGATCTTGTTACCTGGTCAGCTTAGGATGGACCGACCTGTCACTGCGCCAGTGGACTCAGTTAACACAAGAAGCCAGAGCCACGGTTGCTTTAAATTGCCCATAATAGGAAGGTCCTCTGAGCTCAAGCCCTAGGGCCACCATCAATATAATGTTTTTTTTTTTTTTTTTTTTTTTTTTTTTTTTTTTTTTGTCGTTAAATAATGTAGGTCTTTCTCCTGGCTTAGCAGGACATCTACTCATAAACCCAGTGTATTGAGTAGCTCTCGTGGGCTTCGTAGGCCAATAAGGTTAGGTGAAACTTGCAGCTGCCTGTTGTAGGATATTTAATCACACTGTGAACCACTGGAAAAACTTATTTCAAGTTGTGTAGCTCAGCCCTAGCACATTCCTTTACTCTAAGAGCTTTCTGCTTGAATATTGTGAACAGGATTAAATCAAGTTAACCCTAGGTCAAGAGGTGGAGCAAGCAATCATTGGCAGGGAATGATATAGGAAAAAAACCATGGAGAGTAAGAGGAAGTCAGAAAGATGGATAGAGAGTCGCACAGGATGGAGAAGGGAGGGACATTCAGTTTGAGGGGTTTTTTTTTTGAGAATGCACGGGAAAGGAGCATTGCATCTTTTGGGACGTCAGCTGAGAAGGAAGATCGACTGGGTGCTTTCCCTGCCTCCCTGAGCCAGCAGGCTTTCACCCCAGCATTTGGTTCTCCAGTCTTCTTTGGTTGAGATTTTGATAGAAACAACAGCCTCCCGCTAAATCTCAGTCCACAGCCTCTGCCTCACCCAGTGGCTGAAGCTTGGCAGATCTCTTCCTGCATCTGACATACCTCTCTGTAGATTCTGAATGTCGGAAGAAAGCTCATATCCCAGGTACAGCTTGATGTCCATCTTTGGCGGGACCCTTAGAAATCCATGAGCAGCGTCAGTAAACAGCAGGTCTTTCCCAAGAGGGGAGCCAAAGAGTTGAAATGTTGATGACTTGTCTTTTCCAAAATGTTCCTGTTTGGAGGCAGGAAAAGGAACGGAGGAGCATTGTTGACACGAAGGTGAAAGTGAAGACAAAATGAACCCGAATTTCGAAGGGGAAAGGAAAAGGAGGAGCCGTGCAGTCATCCTTGTGCATAGTTTTTTCCTGCTGTTGCAATTGCCAGCAGTTAACAGCATTCTGAAAATACTAAATGGAAAGTTCCAAAAAAAGCAATACATTTTAAATAGCTTTGTTAGTCTACGGTTTTATTTTGTTATTAATTGTTACTCTCTTATTGTACTTAATCTATTCATTAATTTTTATCCTATATTTGAATATACAGATTGCTGACTTACAATGGCTTGGCTTTGATATATATATATATAATATGACATATATATTAGAACAGTGATAGGTTTACTGGAATACAGCTCACAGCATCAAAAACTATGTATCTATCTACCTATCTATTATCTTTCTAACTAGCTTGTTATCCATCTATGTATCCACCTATCAGGAGGGTCGGGGACGTTCTGCAATTACAGGCATTCGCTGAAGCTTTTTCAATACCTTCTACATTAATTAATTAACTAATTAAAAATTAAAATTTAATTTTAATAAAGGGAGACAGCTTGTGCACGAAGACAGTGGCCAGGGCTTCTAACAAGTCTTGTCAGGGACAGTTTTACTCAAATTCCATCTAGTCTGCATCATCTAGACTCAGGGAAACTGTAAGGAGCTGACCTCCAGACCCATAGAAAAGGATCTGAGTTGGTCACTTGCCAGACAGCTGTCCATCTCCACTAGTGCTCTTGCTGTGTGCTCCCATGGGCAGGGCAATGGCTGCCTCTTTCCTGACTGACTGCCCTGGTGGCCATGCTCCAGTACCATTGCCACCAGGGTGGAGGTCAGGTATCCTGGGCTTCCTTTTTACCTCAGGCTTGTTGCTAAGGAAGCAGTTATGGGAATTAAACTTTTCCCTTCAGGCTTCCAAAATACCTCAAGTGACCTTTGCCTGTGACTCCTGTGCCTGGGCCACAGTTATTCCTGGTTGCAGCCTTTAGTAGCACCTGCCCAGGTGTTCTTTTAAAGGACTGCCTTCACTATTTGTGATAGCACCTGTCTATAATCCCAGCACTTGGGAGGGTAAGAAAGGAGGGTGAGGGGTCATAAGGGAAACACTTTGTCGACGGGAGAGGACTCTTCAGAACTGAAAGGAGTGAAAGGAGACAGAAAGTGCTTCTGAAAGTCTTTAGCCCGCAGGTCGGTGATGAGCATCACATGGTCCTTATTGCTCCTACTGTCTGTAGTAAACATACACCAGGTAGATTGCTGGTAAAGGGATCGTGAGCACCAGCATCATCCATTGTGTCATGAATGCAAAGATTTCTAGCCTTAGTGTGGTCAGATGGCAAGGAGGAAATCCTATCCCCCATCCCCCCATTGAAGCAGGGAGCTGCAGGCTGGGAAAAGGATGTCAGGAGTGGGTACCTGGGCCACTCCGAGGAGTTCTTGGATCAAGTCCTCCTTGCCGTCCACACTCCGAGCCACAACAACATGAGAAGGGACCCGGGCCAGGTAGCACTGCTTGTATTCCTCCACTGGCCTGCGGGTATTGTCCGGGCAGAGCAGCTCATACTGGTCCCTGTCGGCCTTTTGGGGCAGGACCTCTGAGGAAGGAAAGTCCGGGTGAGCAGGCTGAGCCGGGGGCTGTGCTGACCCCTCCCCACCACCACAGCCTTTCCGAACACACTTTACACAGGTGAGAGGGCAGACAACTCATCAGGGAAACAACAGGCTTATAGTCTCATAGAGCATCGCACAGCCTTGGGTACCATGGCCGGCCAAGGCACCCTTGAGCTGCCCATATCCCCGAGGCTCTAAAACGAAAATCTGTGAGAGCAAACACATTTAGCGGCGATAACCCACCACAACACTGCACAGGGCTCACTGGTGCCCAGGCCTCTTTACACGCCATTCCCCAACCTAAAGGAGGTGGGACACGGAATAGCCACATTGTAGACGTGAAGAAAGCCTCAGTGATGCTTCCGTGCTGGGGCCATTCACGTCCCCCACGAAAGCAGCCAAGTTCCCCCAGAGACCGAGCCTGTTGGGGGAAAGCACTAAGAGAACCAAGGGGGAGAAGGAGACACAGGGTCCCAGTCAGGGAACTCTGCAGGCGTAAAGGTTCCTTGGTTGCCACTGTGTTGATTTGGCTGTTATGGATTCAGTGCATTCATACTTAAAGTCCTAATCTGCAGTGTCTCCAAAGTGTGACCTCATGTTGAATTAGGATGCCATTAAGATGTGACCATAGTGGAATACAGTGGGCTCCCATGCCAATACAGCTGGTGTATTTTTTTTTCTTTTTTTGAGACAGGGTTTCTCTGTGTTGCCTTGACTGTCCTGGACTCACTTTGTAGACCAGGCTGGCTTTGAACACACAGAGATCCTCCTGCCTCTGCCTCCTAGAGTGCTGGGATAACAGGTGAGAGCCACCACACCGGGCTTCAGCTGGTGTTCTTATGAAAAGAGGAAACTGGGACAGAGCTGTGCACACAGGAAGACTGCCCTGTAAACACGATGTCAGATGGTGATACGTATAGACAGGTGAAGGAACACCAAAGACAGCCACCCAGCCAGAACAGCACAGGAGCTTCTTCCTCACGTCCTCAGAAGAAACAAACACTGGTAACACCCTGATCTTGAAATCCCAGCCTCTGGGAGGAGGAAATGATGAGTGTCTGTTGCTTAAACCACCCAGTGTGGGGCCCTTTGTATTGGCTGGCCTGGAATGTGAATACAGGCAGTCATTGGGATTAATAAAAGTATCATTCTGAAAGAGAGGGAGAAGTGGGCATGGCGGTGCAGGCCTATCCCGGCTGCTCATAGGGCTGAGAGAGGTAGGAGGGTTGCAACTCCATGGCCTGCCTGGGCAATAAAGTGAGTTCAAGACCAGCTTAGCCGACATAGTGAGACTATGTGCCAAGATGAAAAGAGTAAAAAGAGGGCTGAGGGTCCATAGCTCGGTGGCATGGCACTTGCTAAATGTGTGAAGCCCTCATTTTGATCAGCCCTGAGGAGAAAGAAGGGGAGGGAAGAGACGGGCTGTGAGTTACACATGATGTTGGAAGGGGGGGGCACTGAGGGATGAATTGAAGCTTCTCAGCAGCAGGGGATCAGCTCCAATGAACTAAAGCGCTTTTTATTTTTGTTACACAAAAAGCTGGTTAGCAAGTCAATTCCCGAACACCAAAATCTCTTACCAGCTCTCTAGGAGTTGTCTCAGGGAACCATTATCTAAGAAACACAGTCATTACAAGGAATTGCTAGGAATGTCTTATGACTGAGCTTATGCTAAGGTTCTGAAATTCCCAAGAAAGAGCAACCCCATAAATCTCAGACAACAATCACTGATTATTTACAAGAGATTACTTCAAGGCTATCACTCCAGAGTAAATGCCAGGTACAATGGCTCTTCTAAAAGTCTGATACAGGAGGCTATCATTGGATTCTGGGGATCATTATGATTTAAATTCAGTATGTAATATCAAAAACACGCTTAAAATCTCTGCATTTTAAAAAGACTGACTGAACAAGGAACCACACATCTGCAATCCCAGTACTTAGAAAAATAGAGAGAGAAGCGAATCCTTTTAATTATTAATTATTTTTAGGCAGAATCTCAGTATATAGCCTTGGCTGGCCTGGAACTCAATATGTAGACCAGGCTGGCCACAAATTCACAGACATCCTCCTGTCTCCCAAGACCTGGGATTAAAAGCAAGGGCCACCTTGCCAGACCACGAATTTTTGGGGATTTCGTAACATCAAAATTTAAATTCAAAAAAATTCATGTGCTCTAAGAACCTCAGGGGAAAAAAAGCTCTTCCATTTTGCTCACTAGATGGCCCAACTAGTGGCGGCAGACACTGGCTTATAGCAATCACTTATATCCCACCTGGAGTACTTCAGAAAGCTCTCCTGGGAAGGCAAGAGGAAGCCTTACTACTGTGGGAAAATGACCTTCAGCAAAGGTAAGCCAGGATGGTCTGGGACAGCCTGTTCCTTCCCAGAGAGAAGTGTTTTTAAATCTCCATGGTGAAAGCTAGGAGACACCACCCACTGGCACAACCATAGTAACACAGACATCCAAGGGCCATAGAGCATAGCTACTTGGAACAACTTGGTTTTGGAAGGTGACACCCAAAAATAGCCTTAGTCATGAGAATTGTTGATAATAGGATTTCCAAATTTCCCAAATTCCAAAATTTCCAACTTGCAATTTCCAAATTTGGATTTTAGATTCAAAACTTGATTTTCAATATCCAAAATGCTAACATACCAGGTAGCTTAGTTATTGCTGCAACAAAATGCCATGACCAAAAAAGCAATTTGAGGAGAAAAGGGTTTATTTGGCTTATACTTCCATGTTACTGTTCATTATTGAAGGAAGTCAAGACAGGAATCCAAACAGGGCAGGAACCTGGAGGCAGGAGCTGATGCAGAAGCCATGGAAGGGTGCTGCTTACTGGCTTGCTTCCCATGACTTGTTCAGCCTGCTTTGTTATAGAACCCAGGACTACAAGCCCAGGGATGGCACCACCCACAATGGACCAGGCTCAGTCTCTAATTTTAAAATGCCTTACAGCTGGATGTGATAGTGACATTTTTCTCAATCAAGGTTCCTTCCTTTCAGATAACTCTAGTTTGTGTGTCAAGCTGACATAAGACTAGCCGTCACACCTGGCTGGCATGCAGTGATGAGAAGGTGAAGAGTGAATGGCTGAGCAAGAGAACAGAGGACACTGGCATCACCATGCCATCATGGCGGAAGGCATTTGGGTTGTAACTAAGACTAGGGTAAACTGTGAGGACCTGAAAACTTCCTGGAAGTGTTTGTTAGAAAACTGACCTTAGCACATGGGTGGGTATACATTTGAGCTTTAAACATTTCGAGTAGCTCAATGTGTTTGTGCCTTGTAGAGGAATTTCAATTCAGAACATGGCTGTTTTGGCAAGAAGTCACATCCAAAGACCTTCTAGGTCTGTGTGATCTGGCTGGATCACAAGCACATCTTTAGTCCAGGAGATAACAGGCCAGCAGATCTGAGTTCAAGGCCAGCCTGATATAGATCCAGGTGTGGAAGTATGTGCCTTTAATTCCAAACAATGAAGGTAAAGTTAGTTTGTAGAAGGAAGTACCCATGTTTGAAAGTGATGTCTAATTGAATGCCAGAAACAGTGACGAATCAGGGAAAGGCTTGACAGAATAGGGTATACCCAACTCTCACAAGAAGAAAGAGGAAAGAAAAGCTACTTAAGGGGCAATGGGGTGGGGGAGGAAGCAGTTGTACTGGGAGAGTAATAGGGAAACAAGTTGCAGACAGAGCTCAAGCAAACACCGAATGAGCCAGGAGATTAGAGTAGATTGTTTGAGTTAGTTTGAGGCCAAGCAGAGCAATTTAGAGGCCAAGGGAAAAACTAGATTGAATAAATCATCTGGAAGGGGAGTTTGAGCCAGAACAACTGAGCTGAACCAGCCAGCCCACAGCTCAGTAAGATCAAGAAAGGATGAGCTTATTAAGCAGTAAGTCATAGAGGCTGAAAACATTCTAGCCTTAGATTAGATTGTATAGAGGCTAGAAGCTTTCAGGACTAGGTCTAGGTTAGCAGACAGAGACAATAGTTGAACCAGGCAAATAAAAGTTACTCTCACAGTACCTGATATTTAATTGGCTATAAAACCAAAAATGTGGTCTAGTAGCTTTTTCCGGTAAACCCAGCTGCTCTGGAGGCTGAGGCAGACAGGTAGGAAATTTGAGACCTTTCTGGGTTTCAGAATGCTTGAAGACCATCTGGGAAACAGTGAGCTCTTGTCTCAAATGACCAAAAATAACAAATGAAAAGCAACAGAAGATTTAGGAATCTAACTTTGTGATTTTGTAACTTTGTAACTTTGTGATAGAGTGTTTGCCTAGTATGCATGAGGTGCTGGGGTCATAAGCAAACAAAATTTACACACACACACACACACACAAAATCCCAGCATATGTAATCTTAATTTATCTAAAAATGCTGCTTTGCTTATTTGAGCTAAATTGTCCAAATGGTGAAAAGGTTCGTCGTGTTATTTTTGTTTTCGATTTTTAAAATAAGGTGTGTAGGAAGCTGTTGCTCAGGGGTAAATCATTTGTCTAGTGCATACAAGGCTCTCAGGTTAATGCCGGACACTGCAGAAACAACTTCTTTCAATAGTTGGTAAGTAGCAAATAACAGTCCCAACACTGTATTCACCAGATTAATAGAGGGTCGGCAGGTTGGCTGAAAGAGCAGGGGAGGAGCAGGGCGGGTCCCTGATGTGGGGGTGGTCAGCAGGAGACAGATGTGCACTAAGAAGAGCAATGAAGCCCTAAGCAGTGTAGAAATGATGGAAATGCTCTCATAAAATCTCTCCCGTGGTATCACCATCTCAATATCAACATTGGCTAGAGGTTAAAAACAACAAACCTTTGGAGACGAGAGCCAGAGCCTTTGGCCAGGCTGGGGCCTGCTTTACCCTTTTTGTTCCAGACTTACCAAACAGTGTCAGATGCCTCAGGAAGCTCACATCCCCCTTGCCATCCTCCAGACATCTGCAAACAGGACAACCAAGGTCAGGCACTCAGGGGAGGTGCACACACCTCACCTGGCTCTTGTGCAATTGCCCCTCAGGGTCTGCTGAGGCTTTGCTCAGAGCTTCTCAGGAGTCCATGTTTTCCAAGAGGCAGTGGCCCTTATCTGAGGCCTTTGACCCTCATAGCCACGCTGAGCCCTGAAGTAGGCAGGAGGCCTGAAAACCAACGTCACAGAAGGATGATGAAGCAAACAAGACCCTCACTTTCTTTTAGAGACCAGCTCAAAGCAAGTGGTTTGGTTTTGGCGTTCTAAGAGTCATCGGATAGCCTCAAAAACCCAGCTAGTCCTGCTCCTATTTGAGCATCTGCTTTCTTCTCTTATCAAGGATAAGACACTGGCAAAATATCAAAGGTTCCTGAGGCCTGTGTCTGCAGACCCCAGTCCCCAGAGATGAGCCTGTCATTTCTGCACTTCTGTTACCAGGAAGACTAGCATGTCATGGCCCCAGTTTTGGAGAGGCAGTAGGTTTCCCACCAAAAAAAGATTGTTCTTTCAGGATGATTAGGAAAAAGAGGGACTCTGGACCCTGATCTGGTTGCCAATGGTATGGCCTGTTTAATCCTGTGTCTTTGTCTCTCTGTGATGACTGATACAAGTTGTCAACTAGACTGGATCAGATAACATAGGTGAGGACGAGCCTAGGATCATACCTGTCAGGGAGTCTCTAGGCTAATTAAGGTGGGAAGACCCACCCTAAACTCAGGTGGCACTGTCCTATGGGATGAGGCCTAGCATTGAATAAAAAGGAGAAAGTGAGCCAAGTACCAGCATCCCCTGCCCATCCATGTGATCAGCTAGCTCATGCTCCTGTCACCACTTCGCCATCATGATGGACTGTATCCTCCCAAACCATGAGCCAAAATAAAACTCTTTCCTTCATAAGTTGCTTTTTTGTCAGGTGTTCGGTCACAGTAATAAGAAAAGTAACTAAGGGGCTAGAGGGATGGCTTAGCAGTTAAGAGCGCTGGCCGCTTGTTTTAGAGGTAAACATGTTTTTGTTTTAATCCTCAGTGTGAGGATATGGGTTAATTCAGATTGTCCACAGCAGCAAGCCATTTGCCTCCTGCGGGCTCTGAGAGGGCCACTTTGCCAGCTGTAATTAGTTGAATTCTGAGGACTTTGAGGGGTATGTGTATGATAGCCCAGGGGAAGAAGGGGTGGTGGCTTAGAGGAGTCAGAGGAAGACTTCTTGCTGGCTTGCTGGTTACTTGGACTTCTGGATTTCCTGACGATGGATACTGATATTTCCCCCCAAAAGAATCCTACAACCCTACCCAACAGGAAGAAGTAAAGAGAGCTACATCCCCCTTCCTTTACAACCTTCTTTTCCCCCTACCTGTGGTTTGGGGGTTGGAAGGGAGATACAAGCTTTAAGGAACCCCCAAATAAAGCAGCATTTGAAAAACTAGTGCCAACAGCTGCTCTTCCAGAGGACCTGAGTTCAATTCCCAGTACCCACATGGCAGCTCACAACTGTCTGTAATTCCATTTCCAGGGGATCCGACACACTCATACAGACACACTTGCAGGCAAAACACAAGTACATAATCATTTATAATTATACATTATTAAATAACACAAACAAGGTATACATTATTAAATAATACAAATGACTAATTATAAAATATTTATAAAAATTATTTTTAATAAATTAAGATACTTTTTTTTTTAAATAGAAAAGTAGCTAATAGACTCCCTACTTTGAGAGCAAGGGTTTTCACCTACTTGAAAGCTCCAGAGTAGCCGAAGTACGGTTCACGGGAGGAGCAGGCACACTTGTCTGTCCCTTTCCCCACACACAGTTGGCACAGGCTTGGAGATGCCTTTCCATCCGCACAGGGGACACAGCTACTGGAGAAGAACGTGGCCACTGCTGCTCAACACAGAGACGTGAGCCACAGAGTGTGAGTTGGCTAAAGCCTTCAGATTGTGCATATTTGTGAGAGAGTACCCTGTGGGAGAGCCTAAATCTGTGGCCATCTCCCAGGGCTGCTCCTAGGAAGTGAGAGTGTATGCAGGGAGTCTGTCATAGGTAGCGGACACTGCCCGAGCCAGAGTGAATGGATGGATGGCCCAGGGCCCTGTGTGTTTGAGCCCAGGGCTCAAGCCTACGGAAACGCTTCCTGACTTGTCTGCTGCAGGGTGTGTGGGAACTGCTGGCCCACGTGGAAACAAGGAGTGACCAGTGCCATGCACCCTGTCAGTTTACGAGCACTTTACAGGGCCAGGAAGAACACTGAAGAAGGCAGGAACTGCTGCAGACCAGTCACCACCTTGTAGCCTTTTCACAATGCCCGAGCTCACCCCACTTCAACCCTTCTATGATGAGGCTATGATGCCGCATGCTGGTGAGTCAGCAGAGGAGCAAGCCAGTAGCCGCTGCCTAGCTGCCCAGACAGATGGCCAGTGGCGTCTGTCTCCACAGCAAGTGGACACCCATAGAAAGGTCATACATGGCTGGATTGGAGGCCGAGGTGCCTCAGATCCACAGTTACCTGTCCCTGTCCCTGTGAAAACTTGAGTCCTGCAGAGGTTGACAGCTCAAAAACGGTACACTTTTGCAGAGTGTAGAATCCGGCAATCCTCTTCAAAGGCTAAACAGGTCTGGGCTCACTGTGGCTCATGCTAACTGCTCAAGAAGCCTGGAGCCCCCCACCCCCCGGATGTCCCGGCATCAGCCAGCCATCCTGTCCTTGCCCATGTTCCAAACCCTGGAATTAATACATGGAAGCCTGGGGGCGGGGTAGCCGGTAATATATCTGGGAGCCCCAGAGAACCTTCCTCGGGGGCTTTCAAGGATACCCTTGCCAAGAGAAACTGCTGTGATTCCCGGGGAGACAGACAGCTCGGAGAAACAGAAGCACCTCTACCGACAGATGTGATGCTGGTTGCACATTCTTGCTCTGACACATGTTTGTCAGTGGCTGAGTGGCAGTTCCCATGCATGATCAACTCAGCTGGATTTGGAATCACCATGGAAACACACATCTGGGTGTGTCTATGAGGCTGTGTCCGTAAAAGTTTAACCAAAGAGGGAAAATCTACGCTGAACATGTGTGTGTCACCATTGACGGGATGGGGTCCTGGGTTAAAATTTATAAAAGAGAAAAGCAAGCTAAGCACCAGCAGTGCCTCAAGATCCTGCAGCCATGACACCCCCACCATGACGTGACGAACTATTTCCTCAGACTCTGAGCCCAAAGAAGCCCTTCCTTCCTGAAGTTGATTTCGTTGGGTGCTTTTCACGGCAGCAAGACAAATGACTGACATATGGTGTAATCCCAACATAATCCACGCAGAACCACCCAGTGCAGGAGCCCCTTGAGGGCACCCAGCCCCAGCCAGAGTCTCACCTGTTTGCAATGAGCCAGAAGGGAGCAGTACGCTGAGGGGAACGTACCACCCAGCAGACCAGCCCAGGCCTGCATGGCAGGACTTCTTGCCCTGGAGCTGGTTCAGTTGGAAGCCGGTTCCCTTCTTTGCCACGGCCACGGCATAAAAGTGCGTCTGCGGATCTGCGGTGGAGCACACAGAGAGAGAGAGAAGCCGAAAAGAAACAGCATCATTACAACTAACCTTCCAGGACATGTGGAACAGCAGAAGATCCTGGGCCCTGCACCACCCGCTAGCAAGAAGGGCAGAGAAAGAAGTGAAAAACACCCTTTATCTGACAGGAGGAGAGACATGCCCCTTTTCAAGGCAATAAATGAATATTACAGACGTTCCCTGACTTACAAGATAGACTTGTGAGGTTTTTACTCTATGGTAGGTGCAAAGGCCAGCGGCATCCTTTGAATTTTCAGTTTGGTCTTTCAAATGCACAGTGGTCCCCTCTTCTGAAGCTGGGCAGAGACAGTAAGCCACGGCGTGTAGTCAGCCATGGGACCACGACAGGGACAAACACTAGTCCACAGCACAGCATTGCTAAGCTAGGATGTTTGCCAGACCAGCTGTATTGAAAGCATCTGGGCTTAGAATATTTGTAGTTCATAATGGCTTTAATCAGGGCATCGGTCCATTGTAGGTTAGGAAACCTCTAGAGCCATCCTGCTGTGTTTTGTTTCGTTTCTGCCAGTCACTCAGGCTTAGAGTGAATCAACCCCCTGTTACGGGACTTGTGGGTGTTCCGGGGACCACAAGCTTTAGTTCCCAGTTGTAGTTGCTGTACTGTTGCTGCTTCTATGTGGATTTTTTTTTTCCTCCTTGGGTTCTCTGCTCACAGCTCAATTACAAAGTGCAGGTATGAGAGATGAGGATGTCCCCAGAACATAACAGTAACCTGCAATCTAGAGTCAGGCTGAGCTGGGCTGTGCTCTCACACATTGAGTGAAGTAATGGACAAGAGTGGGAAAGAGCTGGGCATGGTGGCGAATGCCTGCAATCCCAACACTCAGAGAGGCAGAGGCAGGTGGATCGATGTGAGTTTGAAGGTCAGCCTGATCTACAAAGCGAGTCCAGGACAGCCAAGGGTACAGAGAGAAACCCTGTCTCAAAAAAAGAATTAAAAACAAATAAACAAACACCTCAGTTATGTTATGTAAACATGTTTTTGTTTTAATCTCAGGTGTGGGTTATGGGGCTGATTCAGATTGTCCACAGCAGCAAACTATTTGCCTTGTGCGGCCTCTGAGGAGGGCTCTTTGCCAACTGCAGATAGTTTAATTCTGAGGACTCTGGAGTAGGAATAAATATCAGAGCCCTTGTTTTCACCTTCTTCCCATGTCTATCCCATTTGCCTTTCTGAATGAAGATTGAGCATCTTACCCAAGGTCCTCCTTCTTGTTTAGCTTCTTTGGGTGTACAGACTTTTTAATATGATTATCCTATATTATATGTCTAATATCCAAGGAACAAGACAGGAGCATACCACAGAGGGCCTCTGAAAGACTCTACCCAGCAGGGTATTAAAGCAGATGCTGAGACTAATAGCCAAACTTTGGGCAGAGTGCAGGGAATCTTAGGAAAGAAGGGGGAGATAGAAAGACCTGGAAGGGTCTGGAGCTCCACAAGAAGAACAACAGAACCAAAAAATATTGGGCCTAGGGGTCTTTTCTGAGACTGATACTCCAATGATACTCCAACCAACGACCATTCATGGAGATAACCTAGAACCCCTGCACAGATGTAGCCTGTGGCAGCTCAGTGTCCAAGTGGGTTCCTTAGTAAGGGGAACAGGAGCTGTCTCTGACATGAACTCAGTGGCTGGCTCTTTGATCACCTCTCCCTGATGGGGGAGCAGCCTTACCAGGCCACAGAGGAAGGCTATAAAAGACAGTCCTAAAGAGACCTGATTGACTAGGGTCAGATGGAAGGGGAGGAGGACTGCCCCTGTCAGTGGACTGGGGGAGGGGCATGAGAGGGTGAGATTGGGAGGGGGGAGGGTGGGGCTATAGCTGAGATACAAAGTGAATAAATTGTAATAAATAAAAAAATTATACTAAAGAAATATCAGAGCTCAGAGAGAGAAAGGGGGTTCCAAGGAAGAAGAATGTTAGTGTTCCTCCCTGCTGCTCCTGGTTGCTATTGATGCAGTTTGACAAGAAGTTGGAGATATCCTGAAACAAAGATTGGACTTGCCCGAAGGAACCCAATAACCCTAACCAGCAGGAAGTAGCTTTAAAGAGAACTCTGCCCCTTCTCCTCACTAACCTTTCTCTCCTACCTGGTGTTGAGGTATGGGGTGGAGAAGGGAAGAAGAGACATAAGAAACGTAAATAAAATAGTTTTAAAAAGTACAGCAACAATACTGGGTCCCAGGGAGAACACACCATCTTTTGACCCATAGTATTCTGCCATGATAGGTTTCAGGTTGTAGTGGGTCAGGCCAGCCTCAGCCATCAATGCTCCATCAATAGTCACAGCATCTATTTTGTTGGCCTGAAAGACAAGTGACCACACATGAATGAAACTTCATCCTTGGAGATGACTCTCCTAGAGTCCTGCTAGGGACTCTGGCTCCAAGGAGTCTTCCATAGCTCCTTCACCCCATTCCTGTGTGCTCCATGAAGCTGTCAAGGGCTGAAAGCAAAAAGCTACCACCGTATGCATGCTGTTTTGAGTTTCTCCTTAGCCCCTCGCCAACCGACGTTTGGTTTACTAGCCTCCTCCTTGAAATGCAAGGTCTGTGAAAGTAGGGACACCCACATGTTCTGTTCCCTGGGTAATCTCATCACATACATGAGCACCTAGAAGGTCCAGATGTCCATATGTGTTTGCCGAGTGAACACATGACCTGCAGAATATTCCCATACATGAGAGCTCACGTTGCATCTTCCACATCTGGGTGTCAGGGGTATGTCAGTCATGGGGTCCTTCTTCCCCATAGGAAGCAGAAACTCCACAGCCCCCCTAAGATAAAGTTGGGTCATTTCCTACCCACAATGCAAGTCATTCTTTTTATTCCTCAGTAATTGACATTCTTTTTTTTTTTTTTTTCAGCACCGGGAAATGAACTTAGAGTCTTGTACATCTAGGCAACTTCTCTATCACTGAGCAATATTTCTATCCCTCTTCTACTTCTTAAATTTTTGAGATGGAGTCTAATTAAGTTGCCCACGCTGGACTCAAACTCACATTCTACAGCCTGAGCAATCAATCCTCAGGCTTGCAACCGCTCCTATCTCACCTTCCCAGTTAACTGCATTCCTGCGTCACCAGACTCAGTTTACAGATTGACTTTTAAAGTAATTTGTTTTTTTTTTCTTTTTTTCCAGAATGTATTTTAGTACAGTCAGTCCTCAGTGTCTGAGGGAGATTTGTTCCAACATTCTGCAACAGCAAAGTCAACAAAGGCTCGAATCCCTAATAGGACATGGAGTGGCATCGCTCACGACCTGTGCAGCTGCTCTCCTATATTTCACACCATCTCTAGACTAGGAAGAAAGCTAACCCAAGGCAGAAGCTATATAAACAGTTGTCACACTGTGTTGTTCAAAGAATGGAAATGAGAAGAGTCAGCACATGTTCGATACAGATGAAACCTTTAAGAAAACAGTTTTTGATCTGTAGCTGTTTGACTTTACAAATTCTGTACCATAATTATTTTATAATATGTATCCATATATAATATATTATGCATTACATAATATATCGGTGTGTATAACTTGGGACATTGCTGAAGGCATGTATCAGAAGCCAACTCAGATTAACTTGAAGAAGGATTATTTAATATGAAAGGTAAGAGAACGAGGTCACTAAGCCTGTGAGCCTGTCAGCATCACCAATGTCAGTGATGGAGGGAGGGCTTGCAGAGGTATCTCAGTGGCTAAGGCCACTTGTTGCTCTTGCAGAGGACCTGGGTTCTTAGCACCCACACCGTGGCTCACAACTACCCATAACTCTAGCTCCAGGGGATCCAATGCCCTCTTCTCACCTTTGTGGGTACTGGGTACCAGGCATACACACGGTATGCAGACATACATGCAAAACTCATAAAATAAAAATAAGTAAATATGAAAAAAGAAAGAAGGAAGACAGGAAGAAAATGAGAAGCAGTATGAAAGGACTTGACATGAGCTGCAACCATCCTTGAGGACTTCAGCTCATGATGGCTTTTTTTCCATTTCACACTTCTTCCCTTCCTGAGTCCTTCCCCTTCAGGTTCCAATATCAGATGCAAAAAAAGACAAGTCTTAGATAGTCTAACCTGCTCTGCAATAAGGACAAATGGCTATAGCAAATCCAACTCTGTAGACTATCCCACTGTTTATCTCTCTCTCTCTCTCTCTCTCTCTCTCTCTCTCACACACACACACACACATGCCTGCACATACACAAAGGCAAATTTCATGTTGAAAAAACCCAAACAGCTTTAGCTGGGTGGCTGTGTAGCACATTTTGATCCCAGCATCTGTGAGGCAAAGGCAGAAAGATTTCTGTGATTTGAGGCCAGCCTAATCTACAGAGTACCAGGACTGCCAGGATTACACAGAGAAACCTTGTCTTGAAAATACAATCAACCAAAAAACAAAAGCAAAACAGCTTTTTGTACTTAAGGATTAAAAGCCCACCAGGTATGGTGTTCCACACCTAAGTCCCAGCACCCAGGAGACAGGAACAGGAACTCTGAGTTCCGGGCAAGCCTGGTCTACATACAGAGAGTTTCATGTTTGTTTTTGAGTATTTAATGATTCTCCTGATTCGGTACTATGTTTTGCTGTGTCACAGCCAAGTTCGAACCCTGTCTTAGTTTCTCGATCAAGATTGTGACTTTTACTACTGGTGAGAGCCAAACAGCTGTATTCTTCCCTGCACTGTAAAGTTACAGGAAAAGGAACCCTGCAAACTTTCTTCTCCTTCAGACAGCGGCGACTTACCAAGATGTCCCTGACACACTCCAGGGAAGAGGTCTTCATCACACAGGTGACAGATGGACCATCTGCAGGAAGGACTTTCTTCATGTTGTCACGGAAACCGGAACACTTAGCTGCCTCAAGATCTGACACAACACACCATCGTATAGTCTTCTTAGGAGCAGCCAGGCACAGGCCTAGGTGAGAGATATTGGTGTTGTCAGGGGCCGATGACACTCACCTTCCTCTGCTGGCAGAAGGGATCAAACACCAGACAAGATGCTGACTAAGGGAGCTGGACCCAGGGCTCAGACGGTGCAGTGGTTAAGTATGCATTCGTCTCTTCCAGACCCCAAGTTCAGTTCCCAGCTCACAGCCTCCTGTAACCCCAGCCCTAGGGGATCTGGCACCCTCTTCAGGCCTCTGTTGTGCACAACTTCCCCAACGTGTGTGTGTGTGTGTGTGTGTGTGTGTGTGTAACTAAAAATAATATTTTAATGCTAAAAAATAACACCAAAACTGTGTGTCATCCACAAACCGAATTGGCTGCTTTCCTCGAGGGAATCCTCAGGTCCCATTTTAATGACTCTCTACATATATATAATCACCCCCCAAAAGATATTAGCAATATGACAGCAATTCCACTCACATGCACAGACATATATATGCATATATGTGTATGTATTTAAAACAGGGACTTAAAAATACATGCACATAGATATTTACCGCAACACTTTTTTTTT